CTTCTTCTTCTTCTTCTTCTTCTTCTTCTTCTTCTTCTTCTTCTTCTCCTTCTCCTTCTCCTTCTCCTTCTCCTTCTCCTTCTTCTCCTTCTTCTTTCCTTCTCTTCCTCCTCTTCCCATCCTCCTCCTCCTCCTCTTCTTGCAAATTTTTTAAATAAGAGGTTCTAGTCCTTTTTTTTTTCAAGCAAAGCATGCAATCTGCACTCCCACTCCTAAATTACGCTGGGAAGATGCATTTAGCTCTCCTCTAAAGACAGACAAGGCCACGCTCCAGGACCCTGACCTCAGAGTACTGTGGCACATGCAGGATGGCAGTTAGTAGGAAAAAGGACAAAAGGTGAGAGAAATGCAGAAAAACTACAGACCGGGACACATTTCCACTGTGATTTCTTTCTTGCTGTAAAGCCCTGGAGAGTGAAACCTGCCTTTAAATAAAATGTGCTAGTCGGGAAAGGCCCCACCAGACTCTTCCTTGTTTTTTTAAGCTGGAAAAAATAAAGCTATATATTGAGGGTGGGAAACCATTTGAAAGATTAATGTCATTAATACATTAGAGCTACTGCGGTTGTCTAATTGCATCTTTTCTGTTTTAGTCCGGTTCTGTTTATCTCCATCCCTCCTTTTTTGTTTTCCTTGTTAATTATTACAACATTAATTACTTTTGGTGTCACCTAGTGACCTCCCTGAGGCTGTTTTCCTTTTTTCAATTCAATTGGAAAGCCTCCCCAAAGTCAGTTCAGATGGATGTACTGCCAGGTAAGGTAAAAGTCACTGTCAGCCCCTAAAAATTGAGAATGCTATTAGGCATTCATGCCAACAAAATTGAAACTTTCAATCCCTATCTATCTTCCTTAACACTTTGGATTTGATTTCTCTAGCAATAGCAATAGCACTTAGACTTATATACCTCTTCACAGTGTTTTACAGCCCTTCTGAGTGGTTTACAGAGTCAGCCTATTGCCCCCAACCATTTGGGTCCTCGTTTTACTGACCTCTGAAGGATGGAAAGCTGAGTCAACCTTGAGCCAGTCAGGATTGAACTCCTGGTTGTGGGAAGAGTTAGCCTGCAATACTGCATTCTAACCTCTGTGCCACCCTGCAGTGGTTAGAATGTAGTATATTCTACAACTGGCAGAGCCTGAAGGAGGCAGGCAGGTTGGCTGAATCCTTGCTACATGTTGAAAAGAGTCTAGTTTCTGTAAACTTTCTCCCTAAATCAGAAGAGATTCAACAGAGGGAGGTTTGTCTGAGCAACATTAAAAACGAAACAAAACAGTTTTTGGATGCTGATGGGAGATACTAGTGACAAATTGAAGACTACTAGGTGAAGCCCAGGAAGAGCCATTCTGGAGTAATGGTTAAGGCACTGGGCTAGAAACTCGGAGATTGTGAGTTCTAGTCCTGCCTTGGGCACTTAATGACAGCTGGGGGATCTCGGGCTGGTCATCGTCTCTCCATCCTAGGCAGGAGAGAATGAGAAATTGCTTCTGAAATCTTGCCAAGAAAACTGCAGGGATCGGTCCAGGCAGCTGCCAGAATTCAGCGCCAACACAAGCCAACGAAAAATGTAGATACGGAACCTGGTGTAGTTATAAGAACGGTGGTCCCAAAGTTCCAATTTTCTTGCTCCACCTCGCTGTCAAGTAAAACCTTATTAGAGGGATGACGCCATACAGGACTCCTCCTAATCTCGCACTAAGCCACTTCAAAGGGGACGGAGTCGTCTTCCGAGCAACTGAGCAACGGTATTTTCCTCCTTTGTTTAATGTTAAGGGTTGGTCAAACTTTCTCTTGCACTTCATTTGACAATCATGACTCCAAAGCAAGGCATTTCCTGGCAGTTAACAATCAGATGGCGAAAGGATTGGCTGTCTTTTCCAGGCTAGCCGTTCGCTGCCAAGATAATGTTCCTCTTTTCTGGCACTTCTGCTGTAGGCTAGTTTGGGAATTACATTCTTACGCTACACATTTATATCATTTTCATTCCAGTTAACTGTTTTGCCTGTTTTCCTCCACCCCCATCCCAAAGAATCCAGGAAAGTGTAATTTGATGAGATTGCTAAAACAACTCCAGGAATCCAAGTTGGCCCAGCAACCTTGGGGTGAACAGAGAAACGGCTTTGCTCCATGCTGGGTTCTCATCCAATTCCTCTTTTAACTGAAAGAGTTTCTTGAAAAGGGTTTGAACAGAGAAGAAGCCAGTGAGGCTGGTACAATAGGAACAACAATTCCTCACCATCCAGTCAGAGCTGAAGAAGCTTCTTGGATGAGAAGTAAAATGTCTTCAAAGAAAACCTGGAAAGTCCAGTTGCCTCTTGAAAAAAGCACCTTGGGGACAACAGGAACAATGGACACCATATTGCCTAACAACCCAAGTGTGGCTTGACTATACAGCCAGTTTGGTCTAATGGTTAAGGCACCGGGCCAGAAATCAAAAGACTACAAGTTCTAGTGCCACTTCGGGCATGGGAGCTGACTGGGTGACTTTAGGTCAGTCACCGGGAGACCGTGAGTTCTAGTCTTGCCTTAGCCATTAAAACCAGCCAGTCCTCCTCTCTCTCTCTCAGTCCCACTCACAGGGTGGTTGTTGTGGGGACAATAGGAGGAGGAAAAGTGTGTTATTGTAAAACAACTCACTGTCTTGCGTTATTTGTAAAAATAATAAAGGTGGGATATAAATAAAAGATGCACTGACACATGAGGATTCTTCAAGTAGCAAAATCTCTGGAGATCCCTCGTGATACTAATGCCACTCTATAAAGCCTTAGTAAGACCACACCCAGAGTAGTGCATCCAGTTTTGTTCACCACACTATAAAAAAGATGTTGAGGCTCTAGAAAAAGTACAGAGAAGAGCAACCAAGATGATTAGGGGACTGGAGGCTAAAACATACGATGAACAGTTGCAGGAACTGGGCCTGGCTAGTCTAGTGAAGAGAAGGACCAGGGGAGACATGACAGCAGTCTTCCAATACTTGAGGGGCTGCCACAGAGAGGAGGAGGGGGTCAAGCTATTTTCCTAAGCACCCAAAGGCCAGACAAGGAATAAAGGAAGGAAACTGAACAAGGAGAGATTCAACCTAGAGAAATTTCCTGACAGATCAATCAACCCATGGAACAGAAGTTGCCTTCAGAAGTTGTGGGAGCTTCATCACTGGAAGCTTTCAAGAAGAGACTGGACTGCCATTTGTCAGAAATGGTGTAGCGTCTCCTCCTTGGGTGGGGGGTTGGACTAGATGACCTACAAGGTCTCTTCCAACTCTGTTAATCTGTAATGTACTTCTTCTTTATAACATGCACCTTCCTTCCTTCCTTCTTAGTAAGCACAATTCTCTTATGGGACAGCTTAGTATAACCTTTGCATATTATCAGGTACATAGTCCGGGTTCCTGATAGAAACCTTTTGCCCCAAGTATTCCTTAACACCAATCTCAGAAACTGACTTTTCACGTTGCCCCTCTCATTTTTTTGGTTCCGCGTCGCTGTGAAAACGTTTCCCTTTCCATGACTGAGGGAACATCCCCCTTGCTCTCCTTGCGTGAGAACCATCTCAAAAAAGGCCCTTCGTTCCTTCCTTCCTTCCTTCCCAGGCTGATCTTTTTTTACTAGCCTGCTCTCCAACTGGGCTGAATTCCATCCCGACTTCCATCCATCATGTATATATGGCTGGAGTCCAGATTCCCGGAGAGATAAACATGCCCTTTGAGGCAGCACCTGACCTGGTGTTAAAATAAAGCAACAACTGGTAGAGTGGAAGGGTGTTCCAGCCAACACATATTTGGGTGATGGTTTCATTAGAGTTTGATGAAAGCCATACAGTACCTTCGTAGCCAGACGACACTCCATCACCCTAATATTGAAATGAGAAGTCGCGGCCTTGTTCATTTCAACACAACTGTTTGCAATCACAAAAACTGCTCCTCCTGGAAGCTTCACGTCGGTTGCCTTCAGGGGATTAAATTCTATCAGTTTTGCCTGCGGAGAGTAAGAGTAAGAAAGTAGTTTCAACTGGTAGCCTAGCTGTGTTTAAGATCAATAAATCAAACCCCTTTAGCTTTGGACATTTTTTCCTCCTTTGTCTCAGAGAATCTTAAATTAATAAGGGAAAAAAAAACTAACATCCAACCAAACTAAGCTACTTATGGTACAAAGTTACTCATTGAATCTGAGCACTTACTCCCCCACTAGAGATGGTTTCTCAATTTTGTCATCCGGAATCTTATTAATGTTCCTTTGATTTGATTTTGTTTTACTCTCCACAATTTACGAGGTCACTGCAATTTAGCAGAATTAATCAGATCAGCAAGAGAGAGAGAGAGAGAGAGAGAGAGAGATGAGTGGGTAGGTTAGGTAGGTGAGGTAGGTAGATAGATAGAGATACATAGATGATAGATATACAGTTAGATGATAGAGATGATAGACATAGATGATAGAGATGATAGATAGATAAATAGATAGATAGATAGATAGATAGATAGATAGATAGATAGATAGATAGATAGACAGACAGACATAGTTACATGATAGAGATGATAGATAGACAGACAGACAGACACAGACAGACAATTTGACCTACAATAAGTCAAAAGGGTTTTTTAATCAGGATACATCAGAAAGTCTTGCAATATTCAAACATGCCCAATTATAAGAGAAAGCGAGATGACTCTCAATGTTTCCCCCCTCCTGATAATGTCACACATATTTCAGCTCTTTTGCTTTATCTTATCATTTTCTTATTGTGTCGATTATCTCAAAGCATCCCTTGAACACTTTCCTTAATGGTTCAGGCGGTACATACGGTTCCTTTTTCTGCCAGGAAACAGATGGACTGGTCCATGCCGCCTCCTTCGGTGCCAATGTAACGTTCGCTCTTGCTGCACAGATTAGCCAGTTCCACCTATGGGGACACAATGGTCAAGGGCAGAGAGAGTTTAGAGTAAGGGGTCTCCAAACTTGACAACTTTAAGACTTGTGGACTTCAACTCCCAGAATTTCTAAGCCAGCAAAGCTTGAAGTCCACAGGTCTTAAAGCTTGAAGTCTACAAGTCTTCAAGTGGCCAAGGTTGGAGACCCCTGTTTAGAGGATATCCCTGCAGGCATTCCTTACAGCAGAATAACTCTGAGATAACAGTCTCGTTCCATGCATTCTATACTCCATGAGCTAATTATCACATCGTTCCATCTATCAGCTGGTATCAGCCTTCCTATGTCTCTCTTTCCCTCTGACGGAGCCCTGATTTCTCAGGAGCAAACAGTTCCCTAAGCTGCTGGATCTTGAGAGGCATGTCATGTTCTGCCTCTCTTCACTATTTGAAGGGTTGGGATCTAGGCTGGCATTAGGCCAGGGCTCTGTGGTCTTGTCTGGCAACCCCAATGATCGGTGACTTAAAACAGGAATACGTGAGACGGAGCACAGCAAGGAAGCAATTCTGCTCTGTTGAGGCAAAGATGCTACGTCTAGGCTGAAGAAAAGGACTAGGGGTGACATGATGGCAGTGGCTGCCACAAAGAAGAGGGGTCAAGCTATTCTCCAAAGCACCTGAAGGTAGGCCAAGAAGCAATGAATGGAAACTAATGAAGGAGAGAAGCAACTTAGAACTAAGGAGAAATTTTCTGACCCTGAGAATAATTAATCAGTGGAACAACTTGCCTCCTGAAGTTGGGAATGCTCCAACGCTGGAAGTTTTTAAAAAGATGTTGGATAACCATTTGTCTGAAGTGGTGTAGGGTTTCCTGCCTAAGCAGGGGTTGGACTAGAAGACCTCCAAGGTCCCTTCCAACTCTCCTCTCCTCTCTTCTATAGATAGGATGGCCCCCTCCTCTCTAGCCTAGACTCCTATGTCCAGCATTACAAATAAGAGGCAGTAAATAGTAATGACTCAGTAGGTAGACAAAAATGCCAAATGCAGTCTGAACATCCGGCTGACTGTGCCACAAACCAAATTTTAAAAAGACAAGATAATACCTCACAATTAGTGGTGGATTGCCCATGTAGAGTCAAAGTCTGTCTAATTTTGAAGAATCCTAGCAGTTTCTTTGAAAGACCCTTAGACAGCACTTGCTAATACTGTTTGAATAAGAAGTCCTTCCTGGGAATCTTTCTTTTGTGGCAGGTTACACCAGAAATCACTTTTCCCCACAAAGACCAGTAGGAATACTTAGAAAATTATACACAGAGAAATCCAAGACTGGTTTATGAACTGAGCTTCGGGGGAATATTTAGGTTTTATTGCCTTTTGGAGTCCAAACCTCCATGTCAGCCTTGGCCAATCAGCTGATCACCACCAATGTGTTGAACTTCAACTCTGATTATTCTCCAGTTAGTCTGGCTATTTATTTCCCATTCTATCCACAGGTTTATGGTGGCTGAAGTTCAAAAGTGAAGGACAGCAGAAATCCAGCTCCTAATGTACAATGCCCAGGATATCATGATTGCAAACATCTTTTCCCTTAATACATTAAAAAGGGGGGATTACAAACATTTCTTCCCTGTTTATAAAGCTGTGGCGATTTAAGCTAGAGCACAACCAAGGAGACATTATCCAGTCCATGTTGTAAGATAAAGCCAACAAATCCTTCGCTTTTGGAATGTGCAGGCCTGCCCACTTTTTTGTTTCCATAAAGGCACCGAAAACAGACTTCAGTTGTAAAAATGAGAGCTCAAGAGCTGCCTAATCAGAGCGAAGGGCTTGCAATGATGGCGAAAACCTGATAGAGCGGTTTCACAACTCTCCTTCAGCTATGTCAATTACCTCATAAACTCTTAGTGGAGAAGATAGAACTGTCAAAAAGGGATTAACAAATTTGAAATGTGTAGAAATCCTTCGGAAAACGTGTGAGTAGAACCCACAACCGATTGTTCAGATCTGACAGATGTTTTTAATATAGAAGACAAAAAATGACGGTATCTCCTTCAGTGCTCTTTGGAGGTAAACTCCAAAAAATATATATATAAAAAAAATAAAGGCGAATAATGAACTTCAGAATTCTAATCTCTGCTTGATAGATGAAAAGAGTGGGTGGTATTTATCTTAGCCTGGTTCAGCACTTGGATTTCTACTCCAAGACCATCTTTAAATCTATTTAAAGGAAATTGTAAAAGATAAACATTTATCTAATTGACATCATGCTTAATGGAAAAGGTTTCCCCTTGTTTGTCTACTGTTGTGCTGACTCACTGTGGTTTATTTTCCAGTAAACATGGACGTGTTTCTGCTGTGATACATCGAGGTTGATTTACAGGATTCGGTGTTAAGTTGGAGGTGAGACTACAATGGGGGGAAATTATGAGGGCTTTCAACGAAACAATAAAGACCCCCCCCATTTTGGATCCATGTCTTTGTTGAAGAAGTAGACCATGTCTTATGGTGGCCTTCAATAAGCCACTTTCACAACAATCACAAAAATCTGAGCTTAACCTCTACACAACATAATCACCACTAGACACTACTCTACCTTAGAGAAGTCCTCCTGCACAATCTTTGTGGAATTTGACACGTTTTCTTTTTGACAAGGAATAACTACCAGTCCTAGTTTGAAGACTTCTTTGTGGGTTTTTTTTTAAATTAATTTCATCACATGACTGATTCCTAACTCCATACATAGCTTATTATCCAAAAATGACTTATTGCTGTCAGATTTTTAAAATAATCTCAGGAGAAAAATGGGATGTTATCAGTCAGCCATGGAAAAATCAATTATTCATCTGCCTAGAAGAGATGCACTAGTAGGTAACACATAGTTATGAGGCCTTCCTCTTCATATTTTGTTTCTTCTTGTATATTTTATCTTGCACACTTGTGGTTCATAATTACCACAACAATGAGTCTCAGGGATTCTTCTTTTCAACCATGTCCTTTAGCTGCTTCAGAAATCTTGGAAATATTCCCATGTTAATGACCGTAAACAATCAGCTCTTTAAAAAAAAACACAATACAGATAAAAGTGGCATGAATGTCCCTTCTGGACCCTTTGCTTTGAACTAGTCTCCTCAGAACACTTAGATAAAGAGATGGCATATTTAAGGATCCCTCTCAAGGTTGTTTGCATGATCCCCAGGAAATGCTTAGTGTTAGGAAGCATGACACAACCTAGTTGTTCTTATCACCACCAGATAGCATGGAGAGGTTCTCCTATGTGGCAGATTTGGCATACTATGACTTCAGTGGACAATATGTATTCTGCTTAGACAACCAAATCTCATAGACAGACTCTCCTTTTTAGCTAGGTGGAACGTGATTTAGCTAGAATGGAATAGTGAGGAAAGCTTGTTCTCTCTGGAGGTGTTTAAGAAGAGATTAGGCAGTCATTTGTCTGGAATGGTATAAGGTCTTCTGCTCCGAGGTCCCTTCCACCCCTGTTATTCACTATTCTGTAGTCTGTTACAGCTTCCCTCACCTTTCTCTAAGGCCATCTCTCTGTGAAAGAGTTGGACACTTGGTTTTCAAGATGTCTTTTTTGCAGATATAATCCGGATGTTTGTATCAGTTGGCAGCTATTAATCCCAGATTGACAGCGCATGAACTAAGAATGTTTATCATTGGTGGTTATCCAAGAGACTATGTTTAGGCTTTTTATGTTTATGCAACGAAATAACGTTTAATCAGAAAATATCTAATTAGGAGAGCAGAAAAACAACATTATCAAGAACCGTGGCACAGTCTGCAAAGCGGCCCCCACTCTCCCAATACAAGCTAAATATGGTCACAAACATTAACAAAGCCAATTCTGTTTCGAACAAGCCCCTTTGCGGAGTTCAACTCCTTGCTTTTAATTGTAAGTTTTGCGCTTTAAAACAAAACATACTTTCAATATTTGTATTCATTATTTTCCTTGGACATGGACAAGGTCGGTAGATAAAACCCTGCATTTTATCCAATCCTGTAGGTTAAACCCTAGAAGGCTAGTGGGATCTAGTGGTGTTTTGGCTAAAACACTAAATTCTACTTGGAAAGAAAGGGATGCTATAGTGGCCAAGGACTGACACACCTTCCCCCAATTAACCATATGCTGGTTGGTATCACATATATACTAGACCAGGGGTGTCCAATCTTGCCCATTTTAAGAGTTTGTGGACTTCAACTGCCATGGCTGGCTGGGGAATTCTGGGAGTTGAAGTCCACAAGTTTTAAAGAGAGCTGAGATATGAAGAAGTTTCTTGGATCAGAAGCCAAATGTCCTCTCCCTCCCCCCAAAAGCAGAAAGTCCAGTCACCTCTTGAAAAAGCACCTTTGGGACAACCATGACCTGGATGACTGAGAATCTCCATAGACACAAGTTTTGAAGTTCCCAAGGCTAGACATCCATGGAGGAGGCCAGATTTACATCACGGTGTCTTGACTACAGCTCTGCTTCATAAGCATCTTAGCATAACCAAAGTTCTCGAAGGGCAAACGAAGTCATATTGGTCTCAGCAGAAGTGTCCTCTGTGACATTAGGAGGACCGTTATGTGGCAAAAAAAAAAAAAATCCCCACCACCATCTAATGGTGGTGCAGCAGTTGTTTTTCAACCCAAGCTGAGAGTTACATCCTTTGTTGCTAACTAATGCTCCCACCTCTAAAGGTCCTTATCCAAGCATGAGGCAGAAGCAGAGGTGGGTATTCAGCAGGTTCTGACCGGTTCTGGAGAACCGGTAGCAGATATTTTGAGTAGTTTGAAGATCCAGCAAACACCACCTCTAACTGGCCCCACCCAGGGGTGGGATTCAAATTTTTTTACTACTGGTTCTATGGGCGTGTCTTGGTGGGCGTGGCGTGACTTAGTGGGTGTGGCTTGGTGGGCTTGGGAGGGAAAGCTCTGTTCTCCTGTGCAGGTCAACGAAAGAAGACCCAGCCGATCATTTGGGACTCCGATCAGCTGAGACACAGTGGAAGGCAGAGAATAGATGTGGGCGGGG